ATTGCAGATCTTTGGGGTGGAAGAATCACACACATTTCAGAGGTTTAAGTCAGCTACAGCAGCATTTTAAACCTCTCTCTCCTTCTGTTCTTAGGTTGTGTTCTTCCACCTCTCAACAGGCTGTGTTGGACTTCACCCTCCCTTCAAGCTGTGGTGGTCTGGCTGGGGTTTGCCGAATCACAGGATCACAGAGTTGGAGGGGTTGGGAGGGACCTCTGGAGATCATCCAGTCCAACCCCCTGCCAGAGCAGGGTCACCCAGAGCAGGTTACACAGGAACGTGTCCAGGTGGGGTTTGACTGTATCTGGAGAAGGTGGCTCCACACCCTCTCTGGGCAGCCTCTTCCAGTCAAGAAGTCTCAAAGTCAAAGTCAAGAAGTTTTTCCTCATGTTAAGATGGAACTTCCTGTGTTTCAGTTTGTGTCTGTTGTCCCTTGTCCTGTCACTGGACACCACCGAGAAGAGCCTAGCTCCTTCCTCTTGACACCTACCCTTTAGATATTGATGAACGTTGATGAGGCCCCCTCTCAGTCTTCTCTACTCCAAGCTAAACTGACCCAGGTCCCTCAGCCTTTCCTCATCAGAGAGGTGCTCCAGTCCCCTGATCATCTTAGTAGCCTCCGCTGAACTTTTTCCAGTAGTTCCCTGTCCTTCAAGGAACTGGGGCGCCCAGAACTGGACACAGCACAGAAATCCTAAAGCACCCTCTTGGTTGTGCCAGCAAGGGTCAGGAGGCAGGAAGGATGCCTTGAGCTTTGGCAACTGGGGTTGAGAGGAAAGAAGAGGTCCTCAAAGATCCAGAGGACAGAATGAAGAATAAATAAGGGTTGGGGCAAAAAGGGACAAGGGAAGGAACTCAGGAAGTTCCTGTGAGAAAAGATCACCAGTGTGAACACCCTTCTTGACCAGAAATAGAGGTCTTTTACCCCATGTCTGTCTCCTGTGTAACAGCAGGAGCCACCCTCAGCCTCGGTCCAAGAGGTGCTGGGGTGGCTGATGATGTTCTGGTGTCATTAATTACAGACCAGCTGAGGAATGCTCCCTTGGAAGCGGGGCTTTCTGCATCTGGATTTCTGAAGCCAGAGGGATCATTAGCTCATCTCGTCTGACCCGATGGGTAACAGAGGCAAGAGAACTTCACCCCGTGTCCCCCGAGAGCCCCGTGAGCTCTGTGTGGCTCACACCATGGCATCCAGCCGCTTTCCCCCATTCTCTTGGGGAACGTGTTCCAAAGGCTAATCAGTTCCACACTTAGAAATCTGGTTTTAGTTTGAATTTCTCTGGCTTGAGCTTCTAGAACTTTTTTTTTTGCATTGTTGGAGCTTTTTTGTTTGTTTGTTTCATTTTGCCTTTGCTAGTCTCAAAGCTACATATTTGTTTTGTCTGGGGGACTCTTGGGGTGACTTGAGAGCAAGTAGCTTTATCAAATGGGGAGATGCTCACCAGAAGCTGGGACTGACCCTCGTCGTGTGGCATTGCAGCAGCTCCTTAGGCAACATCCTCGGTGGTAACACCCTCCGTGGCAGCAATCCCAGCTGGTCCCAAGAAGCAGGAGCACTTCCCATGCTGTCTTCTGACCTCTACCACACCAGGGCCTAATAAACCCAGCCCATAATCAGCATCAGGATGGCTGAGGCCACAGATGCAGCTGATTCCCCTCAGCTTGCTAATATGGGAAAGCTGCCTGTGAAGAGAGCCAGATGGGCTAACGAGGTGGGTTCACCTCTAATTCCTAGGCAGTTCGTGGATACCTTGCCAGGATGCTTGGAAGTAAGAACCTGGGGAAGAACCAAAGAACCAGAACTTTCACATTCAAGAGAAAAAAAACTGATGAAAGGCACAGCAAAGTGCGCCAAAGAACACGGGGCTTTTTCTAATATTAATGTGTAATTTTGTAGCTAATTACTCCCAATGCATTTCCTGGTGGCCTGGGAACCTCTCATTGACCATCTGCACTCAGTTATTTACCTGCTCAGTTTTTCATAATCTCTTAATAAATCATTCCTGGATTTGCAAAAGGCTCATCAGTCATTGAGTTTCCTTTTTTTGGCACGTCTTTTGCTTTGTGTCAATTTGGCCAAGAAATATTTATTGAATAAGAAGCTCTGTAAGGCTCAAGCACTGTTTCATTGTTATACTAAATTATCCCCTAATACAAGTTAGTTAAACTGAAAGAGGGGAGATTTAGATTAGATCACAGAAAGAAATTCTCTGCTGTGGTGAGAGGGTGGTGAGAGCCTGGCCCAGGTTGCCCAGAGAAGCTGTGGCTGCCCCATCCCTGGAGGGGTTCAAGGGCAGGTTGGAGGGGGCTTGGAGCAACCTGGTCTGGTGGGAGTTGTCCCTGCCCAGGGCAGGGGGTAGAACTGGATGCAGTCCCACAAGCCTCTGAAACCTTTCCCCACCTTCAAACTGAGGGTTGACCCTGCTGTGCCCTGGGGAAACCAGCCCCAGGGTGGGTGATGTTCACAACATCTGCTCTTCGGTCATACGCATCCCCCAAGGGTCTTCAGAGAAACCCTCATCCCTTCCCCAGCAGAGATGACGAGGACATCCCTGCTGCTGGAGCAAAACCAGCTCACAGTTGTCAGTTCCACTGAAGCCAACCTGATGCAGGAGGGTGACTGTTGGGGGAAAAAAAAAAATAAATTAAAAAGAAGTATTGGCTTGTGTTTAGGGAGCAAATGGTTAATCTTCTCCTTTGAAGATGACACATTTCAATCCATGAGGCTGCCATAACCCATGGGCACTTTGTCCTGGGCTTCCTGCAGAGAGGCTTAGCTACATGGAAGCACCCTTGAAACTGGACACATCTGAATGAGGTTTTTTTTTTTCTGATGTGAAGCTTTTAGCTGTTTGTATGTGTGGAAAACAGATGAGAAGCAAGGGATCATTTCATTTAGATAGAAATTTTTATTAAGAAAATTTTAAGTGCATACACATTTATGGGAGAACTTACAATGATATAAAAGTGTTTCATTTCAAAATATTCTATGAAAGGAGTAATTTCAAAAGCATAATATAACTCCTCCATAAAAGCTGCCTTGCAGGAACACAAATACAAAAACCTTTTTCACATTATTTGGGAAGATATTTCTTTTTACTCAATAAAAATATAAAGTACAGTATTTACCACATTCTGACAATACTGAGTTCTTAAGGAGTGGAAGATGGGAGGTTCATGCAGCCCTTTCACGATGATACGTTTTCCTTCTCTGTGGCCACCAGAGTTTCATGTTTGCAGACAAGCCTTGTCTTGGTGGGATGTTGGTAAACAAAAAAAAATATCAGGTTTTAGGTGGTGAGTTCTCAGAAACCTCTGGTTACTACAAATCACATCACTCCAAACAAGTTGCCAGAGAAAAGGAGGACCCTCTAGATGCTAAGAAAGGGAAAATAGCAACAAAAACTTCTATAGGAACTGCATTTTCAGTGAAATGTGTATATTTAACTTCGAATATAGCCTTCATTGCAAAATGAGCAGTCGCCTTTGCTCAAACACCTCAGTTAAAAACACATCAGAAAGTCACCCTTCATCCTTCCTCAGGCAGAATTCAGATAGGATATTCATACATACAAGTATAAAGACAGCATAAATAAAAAATTGGCACAGCAATAAATACCATCTATTCTTAAAAAAAAAAAAGAAGAAAAAAATAAAATCCAACCTTAGGCTTCAACAGCTGCACTTTGAAAACACCACAGGTGACCATTTCACATTTAGGGAAGCTGCTTTTTCAGCACCAGTTCAGTGTTACCTCTTTTCCCTCCTCCTCCGCAGGTGTGGTCCCTACATCACTCCCATCTCTCCAGGCTTCCTCTCCCTGATTTGGTCTTTGGTCAAGAGTTAAAAGGCAGAAAGGAAAAATCAAACACTCTCCTGGAGGGGGTTTCTGCTCGGTGTGCAGCGGAGGAGCGGTGGGTGATGCACAGGATGCTGCAGTGATTGATTTCTGTAACACGAGGGGCAGGGATGCTCTCCCTGCTGCATCAGGCAAATAACACCAGGCAGAGAGCAACGCTTCCCACTCAAGGTTGACATTTTGGTCTCAAGCAAGAGAAAGCTTTTATCAGGTTCTCACTCAAGAGAGAGAGTTACTCATGACCATGACATTCACCCTGCGCTCAGCCTTGCCCAGGCAAGGGAGGGACATGGTTCTGGCCCCCCAGAGCAGCCCGTGCCCCAGCGCTCAGCCTTGCCCAGGCAAGGGAGGGACACGGTGCTGGCCCCCCCAGAGCAACCCCTGCCCCGAGTGGTCTCAGCTACTTGAGTAGTGAATTGTCACCAACACAGCAATGTCAGGGCCTGAGTCTCAATAATTGCCAGGGGCAGGTGGCCCACAAGGCACCCAGAGAATCACCAGCAGGCTGTAGGTGTTCCCCCAGCCTTGCAGGGAGCCCCTTCCCTTCCTGCTGCAACTCGTGGATTTCTCCCAGAAGCAAATGCCCTTCCTTTAGCACGCTCTACCCCTGCAACTCTCACTAGTTTGCCCTCATGCTGTGGTTTCACTGCAAAGCCTACATCTTCCCTAATAAAAAAATATCTTTTTGGCCCCTATCATCAATAGCAAGATATGCTGTTGAATCAAAACCAGAGGATTATTTAACTCTCTGTTTACTCCAACAGGAACGGATCAGAGAAGCTGTCCTTCGATGGGGAGCGTGTGTGAAGGATGCACCTTCCCTGGTGAGAAGGACAAGCTCCATATCTGTGTCAATATTAATTGTAAATTAATTGTAATTGTGCCAAAACCAAGATTCTTCCACACTTTCCCCCAAGTCACTCTTGGCTTTGACACTCAGGTGGTGTCTTCTGGCAAACCACTCTGCATGTGTGAGGACAGGAGATGGATCCTAGGATATAAAGTACTGTCCAGAGAAGACATATGAAACTAGTTTTCTTATAAAAGTTCTTTCTGTCTTTACCGTCACCACCAGAGGATCTGATCCTGCTCACACTGAACCCAACACCCCAACTCTCACCAAGTACAGTGGTACCAGACCTTTCAAAAATGGAGACACAATATATTTAAAGCACCAGGTTGGTAACAACAACAACAGAAGGAATGTCAAAATCACAGACACACATACATTTTAGGCACAGCAGTTGGTTTCCACTTTAAAGCAGATGAGGTGATGTGGTCCCAGCTGAAGCACTCTCTGTAATAACATTGTTTTGCAGAGAGGAAAATACTTATAAGGTTTTTTACCTGAATCCACACAGAAATATGGTAATCCCTGGCTAGTCAAAGCGCCTCTTTGGCACTAAAGGATGCCGGCCACAAAAAGGAGTGCTCAGTGAAACACCCCTCTGGATGTCCCCGACACAGGCTGCAGGGAAGAGGGCAGATGCTTTTTGAAGCAACCCGCTCAAAAAACCAAAATACAATCTTACGACATATTTTTGTTAACAATAGACACACAGATACATACAAACACAAGCGTTGTGCTGCACAAACGTGCTTCCCCCCTGCACCCCAGCTTAATGTGATTATCTCAGTGTCTTTCCATACACTTCATAGCGAAGATACTGCATCTACTGGTGGGAATCGGGAGAAAAAAATTTCTGGCTGAGAGAGGGGATTGGTGCAAGAAGTGGCACCCCTCTCCAGGTGGAAGGAAATTCCAGAGGCTTTCCTGTTCACCAGCAAACAGGGACGTGGCCGCTGGTGAACAATGAGTGTTGGCCTTCACTTCCACACCCCAGAAACACCACTCCTTCCACAAACTGGGCAGACCTTTTCTTGCCCCAGGCATTTCTTTTCTCCAAAGATATGGCCAGACATCCTCTTCTAGGTAGCTCCAGAGCCATCAAAGTTGTTACTGCCCTCAGGTAGGTGTAACTGTTCAGTAGATGAGGCTACGGCATCGTTGGTGAAGGGTCCCGTGAATGCATCTCCACCTACTTCAGTGCAAAGAGAGCCAGGGGAGCTGAAGCCACCTCCTGTGGAAGGGTGGGAAGAGACACCCGGTGCGTGGCAGCGTATCTGACTCCTCCAGCAACTTGCAACACCATCACCTGGTTAGACCTTTAACAACCCATTGCTTTTTGTGCTAAAAATCCGTCATCAGAAACGCAGGAACATAGGAAATGCCAGGTGACATCAGATCAGTGTTGTGGCTCCTAAACACACACAACGACTCCAAACCAAGGACCAGCACCTTGCAATACCAGCTGTGCATTGACACAGCTGCTCAGAGCTGTCAGCAAGGTCTCTGATCTTCAGAGAAGGGCTTTAGCCCCGTGGCCCTGAGTTTAATCCCTCACCCCAAACACCTATAAATGACACCCGTGGCAACACTCTTCACTTTTGTCATGTCTGATGCCTTTTAGCCTTCCTATGTTCTTGGCCTCAATGACTTCTGGAGGCAAGGAGGTCCTCCACTACCTACACAACATCATTGCACTGTACAGTCCATGTCCTTCTAGGTTTAAAACTCCAGGAGACTTGCATGAACCAAAAGAAAGTTAAATAAAGCCAGACCTCTACATAGCAAAGGAAATAAAATATTATATAATAACATAAGGTTAGTTTAAATTCATATCCGCCCTCAGTGCTAGGTAATAAACCAACCTGTATAAAAACATATTTTTCTCAAATAGTTACATCTTACTATATAAAAATAGCACTGTGAAAGCAAGCCAATCTATCTGTGCAAAAAAAAAAAAAGCAAGCCCACCAAAAAAAACACCTTTGGAAATGCATGAAGCGTTGCTTTTGTGCTGCATGGTAACAGTGAAATGTATTCCTTCCCTACTACTGGTTATCTGCTCTCTGGGTCCTACAGTAAGAACTCCTGTAGACGGCTTACAATGCTTGCCTCTTACATCTTGAACCTCCTGTTGATGAAGAACAGAGTGAAACACTATTAAGGTTTGTTTCAGTCGCAAAAAGCTTTGATATCAGGCCTAGTCAAACAGCATATCTGTCTCTGGGCTAACCCAAAGGCATTTCTTTTGCAGTTCCTACAACCAGTCTTTGTCAAACATTTTTTTTGGGGGGAAAGTTCTCCACAAGGAGCTACTGGGAGCCAGCAGGGCTAACCCAGCAATGGGAGTTATTTTGGGCAGGTTGTGCTCGTCACAGTTAGTAAGGTGTTTGGAGCTAACATAGGAGGAAGGCTGGCTAGGAAGCTAATTCTGGGCTTGAAAGCCAGAAGAAAGAGTTATCGGTGGGCAAAGAGACTTGGGAGGAAAAAAAAAAACAACAGCAGGGAAAGGAGGGATTAATCATTGGTGAGCAGCCCCAGTAGAGGAGCAAGTGCCACTGGGAATGTCTCCTCTACCTGCTCCTACACCACAGCTCTGCTGGAGAGCAGGGACTGCAGATTCATGGGATGCCAGGTCTCTCTGAGGATGGAGGAACACAAGAGGGCAGCCCATGCTCTGCTCTTGTTGGTGTTCAGCTCCCACCATGGGGTGGCTGGAGAACAGAGGTCCCCAAGTCTGCTGCCCAGCCAGGAACCATCCCCGTGGCCTCCCTACTCTGGGAACAGGTCACAGCTCATGGTGACCAGTGGCCCAGTGAAGGTGGGTGACGGGGAGGGTGATGCAGTAAAGGCAGGGGTGGGCCTGGCACCCAGGAGGAGCGACGGGTTAGACATCACAGCAAAGTGCAAAGGTTTTGTGTGCAGGGTTCACTCAGAACAAGGAGCAAGTCTGGGCTGGTGGTCTCCAGGTTTTGTCTGGTGGCCCCCTACTCCTGCTCCAGGCTGATCGACCTTTTATAAATCTAGATGAGGTCACTAAGGCTGAGTTACAAGTGTCAGAGGGTAAACACCAGGTATTCCAAAGCCCTGACATCCCAGCATGTCTTGTCTAGCCTCCAGGATCAGAACAAACAACTCTGCTGGACCACTGACTGTGGGACCACAGCTGGAGACAGTGGTGACTACTCCCAGTGTAGGCAGCCTTGGCAAACTCATCCAGGCATAAAGAGGATGACTAAGCCACCAGCAAAATTCCTCTCTGAAGATAGTTTTCCCAACATCCCACACCAGTAACCCTACTTCTTTCAGTGCAGAAAGGCAGGACACACCACTCTGGTGGGAAAAAACCAACTGGGACATCCAGAGCATTGGCATATGGAACATATGGGACTTGCCTAGCATCTCCCATAGGAGAGGAGTCAACCAGTCACCAATGCACCAAATCATGTTGTCACCCCCACAGTGCTGCATTTGTCATTAAAAAACACCAGTGACAAATTCACAGCTGTTATTTGCAGTTAAACTCTGTCAGTTTGGTACTGGAAGAATATGGCCACCTAAAAAAATAGGGTTCCCAAACCTTTACCCTGCTTTTGACTTTGCTCCAGGGGATTATTTTGGTCTCTTTGGGTGTCCATTTTTCCATCTGTAAAATGGGAACATTTTCCCACCTGTCACGGCCAAACTTTCCCCCTGTTTTAAGAGTTTTATCTATATAAGGCCCCTCTTCAGGAAGGGTATGGATGATATGCTCCACAAATATGGGGGAAAAATGGAGATCTGTATGAGCTAATGTATTTGCCCAAGGTTATATAGGATGGTCAGTGGAAGAGCAGGGACTTGAGGTACCCCAGCTCAGAAACTAATGCCTCCTACCATTCTTTCTCCCTGGAGACTTTAGTGGTGTTGCACGGGAAGGGCAGAGTGGGCCCCGTTTCTTCTGTTGCTTTTTTTTATGAGTGCGATGACGTGGTCTAAATTAAAAGAAAGATACAAAAAAGACTGCCATGAATTATCCATATACAAAGGCCTATTTTCACATTCATTCTACGGTCTCTTCACATCTTGCTGGCGGGGTGCAAACGATGAGAACATCCCCTTTCCTAAACCCTCTGCCTCAGAGGAACACTTGGCAGGTGAAAGTGCCCTGGTGACAGGACATTTGCAAATTCTGAGGCCATAACAACTCTTTTCCCCAAAACACCAAAGCCTCCCCCAAAAACCTGCCAGAACTTGTCAGCCAGGAGCCTCACCGGCCACACTGTACCCCTTGAGGTACAATGAAAGCAGAGGTGGGAATGGATTTCTGCCTTCCCACCCAGCATTTCTACTGCCATCAACAAGAACTGGTGGCTGTTCCATGGGATCTGTGGGCATTTGGTACCTTAAAACAAGGCAGTGAAGACGTTGGCTTACATTGTTCCCCACTGTGTGGGGTTTTCACCCAGCACACGCTTCCAATGAAAGCAGAGGTGGGAATGGATTTCTGGCTTCCCACCCAGCGTTCCTACTGCCATCAACAAGAACTGGTGGCCATTCCATGGGATCTGTGGGCATTTGGTACCTTAAAATGAGGCAGTGAAGAAGTTGGCTTAAATTGTCCCCCACTGCGTGGGGTTTTCACCCAGCACACACTTGGTGGAGTACCAGGAGGTAGTCATTTTGGCATCTAGTACTTCAACCCTTATTTATTATTTAGATGAGGTCAGAAATTAGGAATTAGGGTTTACTAGGACTCTAGAGGGAAGCAGCAGCAGGGCTTGGTGGTGGAGTACCAGGAGGTAGTCATTTTGGCATCTAGTACTTCAACCCTTATTTATTATTTAGATGAGGTCAGATAAGGTGAATGCCAATCTATCTGTGCTCTAGAGGGAAGCAGCAGCAGGGCTTGGCTCCTACCACAGCCAGCCCCTAGAAATTGGGAGTTACCTTTTCTTTCTCCCAGTGGGCTCAAGGGAAGGGTTTTTCCTATTTGACTTAGTTCCGAGGTGGGACTAGGTTTTAGTGACAACGGAACAAGCAATTATATTCTGCAAGGGATTGATTTTGCATATCCTCACACGAAGGGAGAAGGGAAAGGCAGTCAACGTGCTGTAAACGATGCCTGGGATTGCCTGGAAGTGATAAAGGATTTGTTAGCTATTTCGAGGAAGGACTGATTTGCCCCTTGTCTATAAAAATGGATGAATGTTGAATGATGTTGGCTGCAGCAGCTGCACAATGATTTTTTTAAAGCCAGTTACAGGATTGTGTTTCCTGACAGCCTGAATGCATTTCACTGATGTCTCATGAGTGTGTACATTACATGGAGATGTGATGAATATAAAGCGATAATAAAAGGCTAAGCGGAATTAGTGAGCAAAATAATTCCCTCCTAAAAAACCATCCCTGGTTCCACAATTAACTGCTTTGGACCACTATATTCTACAAACTTTTCCTTGCCCTCAGCTGCAGATTACAACACAGAACATAGTCTTACATTGAAGCACCGATATAGATTAAGATGTCTTGACACTTTGGATATTACTTAAGCAATTACAAGAGCCCTTTCTACAAAACGTATTGATTTTATTCCAGAAAAATAAATTCCCATGTACAATTGGGTTTTCATAACATGAAACAATTAGCCATTTTATTGCTAGTGCATATAGAGTAATGTCACATTTCATACAATTTCAGTACAAGTGAAAAAATATAATATATGGCTGATTGAAATTGATAGCTACATTAACATTTATAGTTCTATATAGATTTATTTTACAAGCTGTTAGTAGTTTAAGAGGGCTATCGGTGTTTTAAACTACCAACATTCATATGGCTCCAATTCAAATATATGAATTGTTTGATGCGCTATAAATATATTCCAAAGTACATTTCATTGAAGAAGTCAAAGCTGTGCACTAAAATATATCAAAAACATGCCTTGTGAAAATGCTACAGACAGAGCCCTGACTGTCTGTGGAGCATGAAAATGCCACTGGTGCTAGCATTACTAGTTGGAAAATGAAAATAATGCCATGATTACAGGATTAGGTGATGGAGATATATGCTTTCTGTCATCTTATGTCATAGAACTGGGACCAACCTCTCTTCTATTACTCAATGCAAACCAAGATGAAACCCAACAAATTAGCAGAATTGCTTCTGGATTAGCGTTAGGGTAAACAAAACCCCAGGATCTGGCTGGAGATCAGGCACGAGCTTACTGGTTTCAGTAGAGCTGGCCCCAAATCTTCGCCAGGGGAGGCGAGAGCAGAACATGTTCCAGCTGAGCTGTTCCCCTAAGTCAGGCAGGCAGGATCTGAGCACATCATCACATTTGCCCAACCCTACCAATTTCTTAAGTGCCTCCTAAGTTTCAGGTCTTATGAAGAGCACCAAGGGCTTCACTGGGGGTGACAGCGAACAGGAACTTAGGCAGGGGCTTGAGAATTTTCCCAAATTGGAAAACAAAACCAGCCCAAGCCCCTGGGATAGTCAGCGTGGGCTACATCCTACTCTGAGGTTGAGTTGGGCCTAAATCCAAAGCCATCCTGACAGCATTAACCTGGATTATCTCTGCAGAGAACTCACCCAGAGGACACGAGGGCTGAGTGATGGCAGCAAAGAAGGCACTAAGCATCGGATGAGATGGGAAGAGCTGTCAGGGCTGGAATCACAGTCAGTTTGTTAGCTAGCCTTCCTTCCCTCCTCCTCCTCCTCCTCACTCTGGGCCCAGTGGGGTCCCAAAAGGACCATGTGGAGGAATCTCTCTACCTCCGGCAGCATTTCTCCCCTTGCTTATTGTAAAAATACAGGGGAACAAAGACTTTTTCTCTTTAACTGTACCCCTTGTTTGGCAGATGCATTTGCAAAGCGAACAATGGAGGGCCTTCAGCTACCTGTATTGCCCTACATCTGCCCTGGGGCCATACCTGTCCCCACATTCCTCCAAGAATGCACTGCTTTTGCAAATGACTGGATTCCAGCCCTGCCTTTCCCCTGTAGATACAGGGTAGGGGGCAAGGTTACAGCGGTTACTGAGGGGTGGGAATGTGGTTGTGAGGGTGGGGGGGATACTGAGTGCACAGGTAGACTTGTTGGCCAAAATGCCACCGCTGGATCAATCTGGATCAATCACAGGGGCCTGGGCAAGAAAGGAAATTCTTTGTACCATCATTTGTCTCATCTTCCACCAGGAAGGCTGGATCCCTCCCTTGCAACTCAGCACAGATATATTCTCTGTGCTGCTCACCATAAAATTGAACCGAGATAGCGTGTCTCCAACCTCAGGTTAGCCATGATCACCCGGCTTTCAAGGGGTGATGGATTTAGAAATAGATTTAAATAGTCTTAATTTGCCAAGTATGGCTGGTTTTCCCCTGGCCTGGGTTTGGGAGAGCCTTATTCATGGCAGCAGATCTCGCCTTGGCCAATATTAATAGCTCTCCACACTGGCCAGCAGAGAAACAACTTTTTAGCCCCAAGACCTCCTGGGCCTCAGCTGCCTGTGCAAACAGACCCCAGTGTAACATGGAAAAGGGGCTCCAAGGGAACTGGAACTATATAGGTTTTGAAGTAACTGTAGTTTGGCTTGGGGAAGGGGGGACATAAAGGAAGCATTTTCCTTGGGAGAACGGCTTTTTTTTTTAAAAAAATAAGGATGAGTTGGGGACCCCAGAACAGATTCATTAGGATTTTGCCTCAAACCCTGGCAAAACTCTTAGTTTAACATTTGGATATACTAGAAGCTGTTGTTTTAATACAGACTAGGTCAACTCCAAACCCATCTTCAAAACAAGATCTGATTCCACGAGTACTTTGTCCACATGGTAAAAGCCAGCCCTTAACGTTCTACCCTTCAACAACTCAGGATGTTTAGCTGTTAAGTCCATTTGTCTCTTGCCTTACTTGTTTAAAGCTTTCTCCAGATATTCCTGGATCCACTTTAACTTGGGATCGATGCACACTTGCTTGCTGTTGCTCTTGAGCCTTGCACTGCCAAAAGAGAAAAATCAGAGTGAGTTTGGTGTCCAATGTTCCTCAGCCCATCCCCAGATGCCTTATTTTGCACAGAGGTTTGAGATTCCACTATGGACAATACCTAAGGGGTCAGTGCTGCTCTCAGTTAACCCATGAAGCTGTTATAAATATCCCTGGGTTCAAAGCACTGATCAAATTTGTTCCCTCTGATGCTTATTCTTGCAGTCTGTCCTGGTACGTGTGGGGGGTGGGACAGATACAGAATTTAAATCTAAGGTTTTCCAATTCCTATCTGGGTTTGCAGTCTGTCCTGGTACGTGTGGGGGGGGTGGGAGAGATACAGAATTTAAATCTAAGTTTTTCCAACTTCTATCTGGGCCTGCCAAAAGAGAAAAATCAGAGTGAGTTTGGTGTCCCATGTTTCTCAGCCCATCCCCAGATGCCTTATTTTGCACAGAGGTTTGAGATTCCACTATGGACAATACCTAAGGGGTCAGTGCTGCTCTCAGTTAACCCATGAAGCTGTTATAAATATCCCTGGGTTCAAAGCACTGATCAAATTTGTTCCCTCTGATGCTTATTCTTGCAGTCTGTCCTGGTACGTGTGGGGGGTGGGACAGATACAGAATTTAAATCTAAGGTTTTCCAATTCCTATCTGGGTTGCTAGAGTTCAGGGCTGGGAAAAGCTAAATTTCATCTGGAAATAGTGATGTGGTAAATCTAGGTCATTTTTGGCAAGGAAGTAATTAAGAACATCTTTCAGATTCAACAGAAAATTGAAGTTTCGTATGTTTTGAGGACAGACACCAAACCATACTTCTTGTTGGTTGTGAAAAGGTTCTCCACTTGTTAAATTGGAGTTTCATTATGTTTTGAGGACACAAACCATCTCTCTTGGATGTTCTGAAAGGGTCTGGTCACTTGTTTGCTTTTTGTTTTTACACAAGACTGAAGGAACAGGGTGCAGGCAGGAAGACAACTGGAGGCACCACAGTGCCAGAGGCAAGTTTTTCCCTCCTGTATTCCCTCAGCACTGGAAACAAAAGCAGAAACCTCCTGAGGGGTTTCTCCTGGAGGTCCAAGCTGCATTTTTCAAACCAGGCTGTTCAGCTAATCTCAATTCCCTGGGAATTTGGCATTTGGGCTCTCTGCATTTTTCCTATTTGTATGAATAGGAATAACTTTCCACTCTCAGCAGCAGGTCTCACCCTCCAGGGATCACGGAGCCTCTTGAGGGTGCCGTGACCTCCCAGGTCCCCCAAAACACCCTGTCTCTGCCCCAGCTGCTCAGAAATCTCCCCTTAAAACAGCCTGCCCGCCACGCAAAAGCGGCAAGAACAGCAATTTCATGGAGACGCCCACAGGAATAAGTTCAAGACTTGTTTTAAGGCACGTTGCTGGACGGGAGCCAACACGTCCCCCTTGCTTTCTACAATGAAATCTGCAGGACATAAAACTGTGGCGTAAGAAATCACAGGTCAAAAAGGCCCCTCGGCCTGCAGTTATGCAACAGCGCAGTCCTAACATAAACACATGGAAGATCCAGCCTGGAGAGCCCTTGTGCCAATAGAGAGATGAATGGGCCTAATTCATATTTCCCTTCTGGCGGTGCCAAGCTGGAGAGCTTCCAGCAGAGCGATACCAGGAGAGGGCAAGAATGGATTTGCTGATGTTAGCAATGCCTGGGAACTCTGGGGCTGGCCTCACAGGGGACAGAACCAAAAAGCACACGTCAAGAGCCTCCAGGAACATGCAATGCAATTCCTCTCACCTAATATTAAAGATACTGATATTTTTTTTTTTTTTTAAATATTTATTTCTGAGCCCGTCAGCCCCTGCTCCTCACAGTCATGGCAGGGACCTAGGAAATGGTATGGAGTGTTAATCTGCACTGGTTTAGGTGTCCACTTAAGGATGCAATTATTTGCATGCTAAAAAATGCCTATTTTCCTAGCAGGGAATTTAGGATGGGCTTTGTAGAAGAAGACATTGACAGAGGAGGTTTCTGGATTTGGAAAGGTGACTTCCCACAGAATCAAAGAAAAAAGCCTGCCCTTGGGCTTTTTGTTCTGGTACAAATTCCCCTCAACCATAAAGGGAATGTATTGGTGCAAAAAAATACAAGATCTTTCTCTGAAACAAGATGATTTCACTGAGATTCTCTGCTCCTGAAAACGGTAGCTTTTAAGTTTCTCACACCTTCACTGTGTAACGTGTATTCACTAAATTCAGGGTGTGGTTAAAACCACCCAGATGAGAAATTGATGTGTTAGTTTTGATTACATTTCAGCTTCTGTTTCCATAAAGACCTAGTTTGAACCCATGATGTTTCAGGGGAATTTGGAGGCAAGTTTTTAAGTACCTTACTTTTTAAAGTGATGAAAAAGTTGGTGAACTATAAGTTCATGTGTTCTGTGTGCCACTAAATCACATTGCAAACACACACGTTTGGGTCAAGAATGGACAAGAACATTCATTTGAAAGAAGAGCCTTTTGTGTTTCTGCGGGGTTTTTGTGCTCTTATCTCCTTCTAACGACTATGATCCCACGTTAATTAAGAGATAAATGTATACTTTATCCTGTCTTAAATGCCTGTCATTTTCTTGAAACTAATCCAGAAAATTCCAAATCCCCTACAAAGCACTAGTGCTGGGACCCTTATGACACGCACTGACAGTCCCAGAGCACAAATCCATACATTACTGCGTTTTGGATGCTTGCCTCCAAAATTGTTTATAGGTAGGGATCAGGGTTAGTCGCAGCTGGTTTTGCCATTTTTGTGAAAGGAAACTATTTCTCAGCTGAGGCTTACATTTTTCTCACTGTCCCCCACCAAATCCTAAGGCAGAAGCACACGTGAGAAAATATGTATGGTCTACCCAGAGTGGTTTAAAAAAAGAAAAAAAAACACACAACACATGAATAAAAACTATTTTGTGAATGGAGTCGGTGAGAAAATATGTATGGTCTACCCAGAGTGGTTTAAAAAAAGAAAAAAAAAACAACACATGAATAAAAACTAGTTTGTGAATGGATTCATGCTCTTCAGTATATCTGTAGGTTCCTGAGAAATCTCATGAAGCCACATCAATTTTCTGAGTGCAGAAATGTTTTGGATGACAACAAATAGATTTCTACAGCATTTCAGTTGCAACTGGAAGAGCTCGACACAGATTGAAGGCAGAAACTAGTGATGAGGAACCCTGTGTAGTCACTGAGAGCTTCTTACAGAGGTCACCAGGTGGTGGTGGCAGCAGCTCCCTTGCAATGAAAAGATGAATGATGATTTCCTTCTTTTGAACATTTTGAATTTTGGGGTGGTGGGGGTGTGACCCATGAGCAAACGAACAAAAAAGACCTTCCTAAAAACACACACAGATCTACAACCCCATTTTTTCCTGAAAATCAGTGTTTCTTTTTCAGCAAAAAAATGAGGAGGTTATTTTCCACTGGGAGCCCATCATCTGCCCTGCTGTGAGCTGTGATTTATCAGAGTCGGTCACTGCCTGGTGTGTCCACAGGTTTTAGATCTGTACCTCCTGAGGTGGATACATGAAACCCAGGAGTTCCTTTTGCTTGCTCCTGTCTATGGAGAAGTGGAGCATTAGAAGACCCAGAACACTGTAAAGCCTTTTCCCCCTCGGTGTGAAGCTCCACATCCACGGCCCCGGGTGGCCTGTCTCATATTCCTGCTCACATACCCGTGGGCTCACACTCTCACAGGGAGATCACAGAGGTAAAACACAGCTGGGAAACATCCAGCTGCACCCTTCGTGTGGGGTAAAGATGGCTCCAGCTGTACCTGCCCCATGGGGTGAAGAGATGAAGTGGAGACCATGGCACGAGACACGGACCAAATTGCAGCCTCCAAAGCATGAACCAGCTCTAATCACAGAGGTAAAACACAGCTGGGAAACATCCAGCTGCACCCTTCGTGTGGGGTAAAGATGGCTCCAGCTGTACCTGCCCCATGGGGTGAAGAGATGAATTGGAGACCACGGCACAAGACACGGACCAAACTGCCGCCCCCAAAGCATGAACCAGCTCTGTCCGTGACCCTCCTTTTTGACACACCTGAGATTTGCACCCGGCTGAAAAAGAGAAGAGAGACTTACACAATCTGAAGCGAGCAGTTGGGGGTGGAGAGGATTTTGAGGTGCTTAATGTTGGCTCTTGCCACGTTGCTCTCGTAGAATCGACAGGGGCATCGGTAGGTCAGGCTGACAGGTTTCTCTGCGGGACACAGAGAGAAAGGACACGTTATTCCCTCCTTCTCCTGGCCAGAAGCACAGACACACGGAGCAGAAACTCCCTCCAAACACGCAGGTGAAAAAGGGGAAAAAAAAAAAAAAAAAAAAAAAAAAAAAAAGGCAATAGAAAAGCTGAAGCTTTGGGAGAGCATTTGCCCCCAGCTCAGAGCACAATCCTTTCAGCCCAGTACCCAGCCTTTCAACCCCGGTGCGTGGGATTTCAGAAGACAAAAAAAAAAAAAAAAGAGGTCTAAACCAAGCTGTGAAATCAAAGCGGTGCAAAACCATCCCAAAACACACCTTAGAAAAATAATCCCCTGCCCGTGAGCACAACTCCGTGTTCCCCAGAAGAGCCTTCCCGCTGGCCTGTGAACCACAGCCCGTTCCCAGCTGAGGGATCTGCATTTTCGGAGGGGCTTGACCCCCTCTCCGGGGCAG